AATTCAGGATTTTAAGTACTTCAGTGTTTTATATAAACACGTGAATATGAAACGCGGCGAACGGTCACGACAGACCATCAAATGTTAGTGACTGATCGATTTTTTACATGTCTTAGTTTTAATGGACATCCATCGTCTTTCGGGGATGAGATGAGCCTTGTCGAATGGTTAAAATTTACCGTAGTTTCGATAGTCATTCCAGCTGTCATCTTCAGCGTTGTGCATTTAACTCTAGCTGCGAAATGTGAGGAAAACAAGTACACCTACGAATTCTCAATCTGAATATGACGGGCTCAAAGTAGTCAGGACAATGAATGATGAATCGTGAATGTCGTATCACACGTTCGCTCTCAACCAGACTTCAAATTAATCAGCGATGTAACAGGAACTTTTCAGCTTGTTATGTTGTCACCCTACAAAATATTTTGAAATAATCTGATTTAATCCGGAATGATGGCGGTCCGCTGGGGCCCATCCGTCTCGACAGCGAATTACAGCGCCTCCAGGTCCCGGTGGAAGGGTTGTGAGTTTATCTTTCTGTGATGTATCATCGTGACACGGGGAGGGGACAAATTATTTTAAAAGCTGTCTCTGTGGAGGGTGGAGACGACGGGTTATGAGGGACAGCTGTTCATGCACTTTAGCTTCCGACACCATCCTCCGTGCCTTCTTTTCACAGTCTGCTTCACTAATTTTCTCTCCTTTTTTCTGTACGTTCATGTCTTGGGTACAAATATTTGTGTGTATTATCTGTTACGTTTTCCTTGTTTTCATTTGACTATCTTCTTTGCTTTATTCTTACGTATTCTGTATTTCATTCTTTCTCTATTTGTCATGTACCCTCACTCCACAGCCTCTGGATCTCTCGTTATTTGTCTTTATTTCTGCATGTTTTATTTATTAGTCCGTTTTGTGATTTCCATCTGTCATTAAGAACGAGGGGGAGGCATCTCGTCTCTGTGACTAACCCCGGCCCCTTTAATTCTTCAACTGATCTGATACAGAATAACTTCGTAGCGAAGCGTTGCATTCATATGACTGAGAATCTATTTACACTTTCCCGATGTCCAAGTTCAAGGTCACTTACTCATCTTCAGTGAACTTAATTCAGTCCACACACAAAATCAAGGTTTGTAATCTTTCGTACTACGAAACACAAATAGTTTGATGCTTTGAGGAATTTATAAAGCTAACCTCGGGTTAATATGACCGGAGTGCCTTAGTAAAGTAACTGGATACGTGCTGGACTACCAGGTTCGATTTCCAGCAGGGGCACCACAACTTCAACTTACCTGACTTTAGGGGAAAACTAGCTTCCTGTCCAGTGTGTACCGGGGACTTCTCCAACGGGGGTAAAGCTACCGGAACGTGTAGCTGACCACTTAGCTTCAGGCAGTATATTTAGTGTTCTTTCTGAAGACAGGTCCATATGAACAGGATCCTTCCATCCTTTTCTCGGACTGGGACCTGTTTTTTTTTTTTTAGTGTTCTGTCTGACGACAGGTCCGTATGAACAGGATCCTTCCATCCTTTTCTCGTACTGGGACCTGTTCATATATGTTCTTGGCAGATGATCCAGAAGTGGTTTGCCATTGCCTTCTTCTGTGTGTGAATGGAGTAATTGTTGGGATGCCACGGAGGAAAACTCCGTGTTGCCTAGACCACGGTCTCGCCCAACACAAGTTATAAATTCGGGCACCGCCGGGAATCGAACCAGAGACCCCAGGATTACAAGGCCAGGGGTCTCAGCGCTAGACCACCGTGGCTCTTCAGCCAGTACCGATGTTAAGAAAGCGTCTATGTCCCAATAAAACTCGACAAAGTCTCTCTTACAGGGTTAGTTTTGTTTCAAATGGGACAAATTTAATCAGAGATGTGCATTTGCCACTCGGAAGTCATGTGTTCCGTGTCGCGGACCGCAGAGTATGAACCGCAGATGACAGAGATTGGTGGAGTGTGTGTGTGCAGACATCTGTCCACGGGCCGCACGGACAATTTCCGATCGCTGCCTCCCTATTATAAGACGACAATAAGAAACACAAAAGCGAGGTCACGCTGACAATTATGCCCCCCTACAATTTGTCATGTCATTCGCCCCTACATGTTGATCCAGATAAGCGCGTGTAATGTTTTGATACAACTGGTCCACAGCATTAAACCGGGCATTCAATAATAACTACACAGATCGGCGTGGAAACTTCCTGCATTACCACCAGACACTATTAAGTTGAAATGCGTTATGCATGTTTGCAGTGTGAGACGTAGGGGTCACGGAACGACCTTTAAGAGGCCAATGAGAGGAAATCAGCGCCTGCGTTGCATGTCGTTAAATGTTCACAATACCGAACAAGTTAGGAAATGTGCGCATAGCGTAGAGATCACGGAGCATTCGCCAGAATTTGACCTTCGTGAATTGCACAGTTAAGGCCAGGTTTTTTTGGGGGTCAGATGTACGAAGTATGTCGCTCTGAAACGTCGGTGCACGACCAGAGGCCCAATATCTAGCGCACGTCACCACAAAGACGATCAAATTCTGCGTAAAATAAAACAAATTCTCTTACAAATTTTCATGTAGACATCTAACACCAAATTTAATCGAAATTCGTTCAGCAATAAAAATTCAGTCCCTACCTCAAAGAAAATGCAAGACGTCTTCATCACAAAGACAAGTTCTTTAATGCTGATTAAGGGATCTAGGTACAATTTCAGGCCAGATTTACGCTCATTTATTAAAAATTTAAATATGAAAGAAACTGGGAAATCGAACTTGGAAATGAGGAAGACGGGAAAAATGAAATGAAAATTTTGCTGTCAGTTCTAATAACTTCCTATATTTTTATTCCACTTAAACACATTTGCTATGTACAAATAGAACACAGGCTATACACAGTAAAACATATTCTCTATAGGCGATATCGATTCACTATTTCTTAGTTTTAAACATCATTAAAACAACCACAGACTTCTTTCTCATAAATCACAACACGTCCTCAGGCGACGTTCAAATATTTAGGTTCATCGACTAATGATTTAATGACAATAAACATAATTAAACTGTCAAGAGGGAAAATAAATCCGGCAATTGCTGCCAATTATACCAATAATTGTTACAAATAAGCCTTTTGCACACTCCATGCTATTTAAGATCTGAATTAACAAACTAAAAGGATAGTCAGGCAATTTTTGCAATATGACACGTACGTAGAAACATGTAAAACACTTATAAACCACTAACGTTAATATTACTCATTTATAATCAATAACAGACAACTTTAATCCCTTGTAGTTCATCTAAATAATATTTAAGAATCCAGTCCGTACCGCAAAGAAAACGCTACAGTTCACCATTACAAAGATCAACTGGTTAGACTTGAGGTTCTCACAGCGGTGAGTATGGAGATTTCCGTCTTCTGGGTTGTTGCAACCCAGAAGACGGAAATCTTCATCAACTGGTTAACTTTGTTTATGGAAATAATCGCTGTCTACAATGAGAATTATACGGAAACCACAAATACAAAAGGAAGAGTTCTTAATTGTTGAAGCAGATGGAGGCAGAAGTTACAATTGGGTTTTTAAATTTTTAAATAACAACACACAAAAGAAAAACTACTGAGTATGCAAGTAGGTGAATGTTTGCAAATACTGGAATATTTGTTAGGCTTGTTTTTTCGTCACATTTAATCATGTTCCTTGGTTGTGTTCGATAAAGTTCTTTCTTTGTTCATCCCCACAGGAAGAAGAAATAGTTTACGTACAGAAAAAATGTTCCAAAAGCTCATAAATGATCTCTCAGTATCAACGACTCAACCAAAACATTGTGACCTCTTCTTGTAAGAAGAATATTTAAAGGGAAAAGTTTGTCGTACCAAGAAACATGATTAGGCAGCCGTGGGAAACACCCCAGTTCGGTTCAGAATGTGGAATCTTACTTTTTGCAAAGATTTGAAGCCAATGCAGCAAAACCTAATTGAATATTCTGTTAGTGGCACTTAGGAGATGGTAGTCTTTCGGAGGTCGACGCATCAGGACACGAAGGAACTCGTCGACAGTTGAATTTCAGCAATTATTCCCACTTATGTATCAATGAGGTCATGACACTGGAGAAGTACAGAGTAAAACCTTATGTAGGCTATTGTTATTAACGAGATGAAACAATTAATTAATATAAGAATACTTAAAACATACTGAGTTTCAAATACACTACAATTGACAACTGTTAAAAAGCTGTAACAGAAATAAATACCGCATAATTTAAAAGATTAAAGATAATATTAAAATAGGAAAATTCTGATGTGTTTTTACAAAATATCAGGTGATAAACGATTAGCAAAGTAGCTAACTGCGCTGTACGAGTGGAATTCAAGATGCATGTTTTACCTTTAGTCGACTCGAACAGTCACTGAAAGATGTAACTTAGGAGAGAATGTTATAATAACACTTTAAATTCAGTTTCACAAACTTAATGGAAATCAATAGATGTTAAGCTATGTACAAAGTTATATGACTTGTAACAATTCATAATGCACGTTGCAGAAAACTTTAGAAAAAAAAAAGTTTAGCCTCTCACTTCACGTCTGTCTTCAAATGTTCCATCTCCAACTCGTCAGCGTAAATTTAGCAGTGCAAATATCCTTACACAAACGTAGCAGTCAGCCATTGTTTCTTAATAACACAAAACTATTTTTCTTTGGTTGATAAACAAAGTATCACCGTCGAACGCCTGTAAACTTGTAATTCCAAATTTCCTAACATTTAATACCGCCCTTGATAAGTTAAAATCTAAATATCAAATCTAAAACTTCTTGACGATGGTGAAGAGTCAATTGAATAAAAATTTACTTGGATATTATCCATCGTCTAGTATAAATATAAAACGTAAAACGACGTTTCGGAGATGGGACTCTATCTCCGTCTTCAGGTTCCTACACAGTTGGGCCCACTAGATAGAGCTAATCCCTATCTCCGGACCGGAGATAGAGTCCCATCTCCGAAACGTCGTTTTACGTTTTATATTTACTAGACGATGGATAATATCCAAGAAAATTTTTATTCAATTAAAATCTAAATAGTTTGTAGGTACAGTCGACGTATTCAGTACGTATTTTAATTTTTTTTCCAAGTGTCGGTTTAAAAATGAAATATTGTGATGGGTGTTTTTATCTCTCGGGCGGGTTTTGGTCTGATAAATAAATTAAGGAGACACTTTTGCTGATATGGCAGGCCATTTAAGATATCTGGGAGCATTTAAAATGCCTACGTATGTCTAATTGCGTAGACCTTCTGATGTCCGTTCAGTCTACAGAACTGAGGCATCATTTCTATTCTTGGTAATTCTGTTGTCTGCATCATGAAACCAGGTTTGTTCACCACGTCTGTGGTTAAACAAGAAAGTTCCCGTCTAATGCCCGCGAGAAGGTGTGTTCAACAGTAAATTTTGTGCCTATAGAATATTTAGGCTACAAGGACAGTCTGGGCTAACGAGGTTCGATTCCCGACAAGAGCAAATAATCCTTTCGTATTGGCGAACGTCGTGGAGGAATGGTCAGTACTTCAGCTTCGTATTCCGGAGGTCCATGATTTCAAATCTCACCTCGGACACCAGCTCATTTCATTATCAGCTGAATGTTAGGATAGTACCTTAAATTAGGCCACGACTTGTGTCCGTGCATATTTGCCTTAAGGTCCTCTTGTCGAGTTCCTGGTCGTCGGACCGTGGTCTTTGCATTGCACACATCACGGTTCACGCGCGTTCGGTGAGGTCCGATTTGTAGGGCTGAAACAGTTTGGGGGGCTCGGCGTGGGGGCCCTTGAGCGCTGTCGTCATGATCAAGGAGGCGGGTGGCGCGGAGGAACTGTAGTCACTGTTCTTGCCGTCTCCCGTCACGCAGTTGACGATGCCGCATCGGCAACTTGGCGATCCGTCGCAGTTGCCTTCGTCGGTGTTGGCCGAGGGCGGGCTCAGCGTCGGGCTGCTGTTCTCCGACCGGGTCGAATGTGCGGGGCTGGAACCACGCACGGGGAACGCCGACGGCCGCAGAATCGGCATATTCGGGAGGTTGAGTTCGGCGCCCAGCGAGGGCACCGCGGCGTTAGACGTCGTCAGGAGGGGCGGCGGAGAGGATTGGCGGTGGGAGAGGTAGGGTTGCGGCCGGTGGAGCGGCGAGGGTGGCACTGGGGGTGGGAAAGGGTTGTAGCGGTGAAGCGGGTGGTAGTAGGAGTAGGGGCTGTAGGCGGCAGCCGCGATGCTAGGAATTCCGCCCGCACTGGCTGCAGCAGCTTGAAGGATGCTGGCCGCGAAGACGGGGTCCGTGTACACGGCGTACGGCCAAGCCATCGCCATCCGCTGTCGCTTGTCCTTCATTCGTCGGTTCTGGAACCACACCTGCAGCAGGGACAGGATACACATGTACATACGTGGTCTGCATGCCTAGGAGCCGCGGGTTTGATTCCCGTCATTAACAGACTTGGGCCGAGGTAATAGTTGCAGCAGTGTGATCCAAAAATTACCTCGGTTGGCGAAGAACGCGACAGACGGAAATGAACGGGTTCTTTTACGCTACAGCAAAGAAAACCTGATAATGAATTTGAAAGAAATCGATCATGGATTAACTTAAGAAATTTCCCCAGAATTGTCCTAGAGTGACTAAGGGGAACCATGAAAGACCTGTCAGTGTGGCCGATTTCAGTGCTGTTGCTTGAACCCAGGATCTTTCGAGCACAATGTCGAGTGCTAACCACTCCATCAGGACGTACGACCATTAGGAATGAAATTATGGCGTGCAGATGCATGAGGAGTCGGTCTCTGAACCGAGAACCATCAGGCCCTGAAGATGGTTGAGTAGTGGAAGGAAATCATCAGCTGACTCCGGATCTGCTAATTTGTCTCGCAAAAAACAGTGTGGAGAGTCTGCCATGCCAACCAGTCGCTAATGAAGCATTTATCGGCCGCTAATTAATTGCGCTGTGGAGTGGGCCAGGTGTTAAAACGACGTTAAGCTGACGTTACCTGCTGCCACCAAGCGAATGATTGCAAATCTTTTGAGTGATGAGACCCCGAGTAACGCTTACAACATGGCGATCGTATAAAATGCAGCTCAGACTCACGATGACCCACGTTAATATTTGTGCGATAATGACATCGCGACGCCCTTGGGATGTTACTGTACTCAGAGTACAACTTTTGTTTCTTAAGAGATACGAGCGGTCAGATCTCAAAGCTGACTGCCCACTTCCGTTCAACGTTCATGTTAATTTTATTTATTAATTTGTGGTTTATTTAACGATGCTGTAAGTAGGTTAGACTGGTAGTTGCTTATGAAACTACACGTCACTGCCCAGAAGATAGTTTTTTCTCGTCTGATGGATCGCACCTGTCACGTGTCAGTACTCGGGAGTCGCAGTGTTTTTGGTTCAGTGTCGGATCACTGCACTTTGCGCAGGTAGACAACCTGGCGGCTGTTAAAATTTTGTAAAAGGTTTTTACGTGCTAGTAATTAACGCCGAAGAAAGCAGTACTAATGGATATATTGAAGCACTGGAAGTAATAATATAATTATCACATAAGCTACCAAACGTAACATTGTGATGATGGCAGAAAGATGGCGGCACGTGAAAGGGTTTCATCATGTGGTTGCTAAGTGATCGCGCCCATAAACAAGTGAGCGGCAATTCTTTGTGCGAGTCTAGCAGGGCGGTTCGGAAAACATTTGGCTTTCTTTGATACAGAATAAGATTTTATTGAGATCTCTGGCTCTGTGGCCCGTGAGACACCGGAATGTACAAGGCAAACATTGTACCAAAGCGCCATTTCAGTGAGGCGTAATGTAGCCCCGTGATTTTGAAACTTGCCCAGTTTAACAATTTTTAGAAACGCTGAATTTTTTAAATGTACGATTCATACAATTCTTATCACTATAAGCAGCGATTATTTCCTTAATCAGCGTTAACCATTTGATATTTGCAATGGTGAAGTGTTGTGTTTTCTTCGCGGTACGGACTGAATTCTTAAGTTTCATTTGAAAGAGCTTCGGCTCCAAAGGTTAATTAGCGTTTTTGTCGTATTATTTCCTTAAACAACGTTAACCATTTGATCTTTGTAATGGTGAAGTTATGTGTTTTCTTCGCGGTACGGACTTAATTCTTATGTATTATTTACGTTACGTAAAGCCCTTCATTTTGATTATGAGCTTATGTTTTCAGCATTGTCAATGCAGCAGGAGGTGCTAATTACAGCACTTCTCTCCGCCATCTTGTGTGGTCGACGTATCCCCGTGGAGAATGAATTGCTCATTACAGTATCTGCGTACAAATACCACTCACGCACCGAATGTGTTGAACTCGTTACAGGGCAGATGTTTCTTACTATGAAGACGTCTTGTATCCGATTAAAGATCAAAGACGGATGTACCAAATACGAAAGAATTTGTCAAAGTCCTGATGTTTGAATGCCATCTGTGATAAATTTAATTCCTTCTCGTTTTCGCATAAATTTTGCCTCGTTTCGTGTTGTCGGTTGTTAATTGGATTTTATTGTAGGCCAGTCTAAAGCTGTGTGTTTGTAATCTGTTGATTTCTTAGGCCGCACATAAAAAATTAGACTTAAGTTATTCAGAAAGCAATTTTAAAATGAACAAGATTTAACCCGTCTTCATCTCACGCATTTTTTCCTCATTGCTTCGTATTGGTTACGAAGATTTATTTAAAAGGTGTATTCGGACATAACCTTGTTTTGACTATGATCTCAGGGCTTTTAGATGTCTCTGAGGGCCAATGCCGCCGTAGTACTTTGAAAAGGTCCAGACAACTGTCTTCCAAATCGTTACCTACCCAACAACCTGCAAATGAATTACACACGGACAATTTTGTCGTTAAAAAAAAACTAATAAACCTAACCTAACCTCATATATGGCCTTCATACCTTAATGGTTGATTCCGGCAAATTGAGTTGAGACGCGAGTTCGCACCTACGGGGCCGCGACACATAGTTCTCCTTATAGAATTCCTCCTCCAGCCGCCCCAACTGTTCACGTGTGAACGCCGTTCGGTAGCGTCGGATGTTCTGCTCTGCGACTGCTGAAGAACCACCGCCACCGCCTGAACTGCCATCTGGTGATCAAAGAAAATTATAACAAACCATAAGTCGTCGGTGTAAAATGTAAGAAATATCAGGACTGGCTATTAGCGCCTTTGAATTTCAAGATCAAGGCATTAAAAAGATTGGTATTACAGTGGGCGGGGCCTGTGGAAAGATGAGAAGTACAGAATCTTGGTTGGAGAGCCTGGGAGGAAAAGTCCATTGAGAAGACCTAGACGTAGATAGGAGGATAAATCTAAAATGGATATTCGAGGAATATGATTGGAAGTGTGTGGATTGGATTCATCTGGCTCAGGATAGGGACCTGTTGTAAATTCTTACGAGGACGATAACGAACGTGTTTTATGAATGGCAACAATTTAATTAGCCCGAGCGTATTTTCAGCTTCTGAAGAAGATTTCCGTTCTGGAGAAGGACATGTCTCTCAAATTGTCTGGCTCCTTTAGAGTTTCCAATCAAAATTTGTTAAGTATATCTCAGTTCCCTGATATTCCCATTCATTTAACGATCACCCTGAAATTAGAAACGAAGTTTCTTATACCTCGGAGCGTTCGTGATCAATCTGTAGCTTCTTATTAGCCGCTACTAACTTCTGCAGTTGGATCTGTGTCGTCGGATACATTAGGAGTGCAGTTTCCGACCTTGTTGTGTCGATGTCGCCGGCAGAACGGACAAAGTGGTGTCCGTGGCAAGTCGGGCGGGCGCCTGGCGGCTGTCGAGACAAGAGCCATCTTCCGGCTGTGGGCTCTCGTGCACCGCAAGATAAGTCAAGTGCTCCGTAAGTCCGTGGGAAGAACCGATGTTTGCAGTTTCTGCCGCACGGAGCGAGAATCTTACGGCGTTCTTTACACAAAAACTATACTTTGTTCGCGTCAAATAATCAGTCTAATTACGTTTCTTAAGTATGTCTCAAGTACAGATGTTAGATAATGTCGAAAGAATGAGAAGATGATTATCGACGTGGGGAGGGTAACAAACCTGTAAAGAAGTGGCCGTGGACTATCGCAGAATTGGCTTGGGAAAGCTGAAGACATTCATTAAATATCTCAATGAAAGTAGTTGGAAATTCAACCAGGAAATAAATTCTGTGATTTCAATCACCAGATTCGAATTTTCATTATTTTCCCGCGTTTTCCTGTCAGACGGGAGACCCGCGATTTCACGTACCCACGGGAACACACGGACTGTCCAGTAAGTTAAGTAGAAATATTTAGTCCATGACCTGAATAGATATTTTACGAAGTAAGAAGATTAGTTCGAAAATGGTCTCACCCTAGGAAAGTTGTCGAAGATAAAAGCAGACTTCTTGGAAGGTTAATGGTAGGGCGCTGAGGACAGTATTGGGACCCAAGATGGCGAAGCGACAGGAGACTGGAGAAAACTGCATAGTGAGGAACTTTAGCATCTCAAGAAGGACTCTGCTCCGTGGACTTACTGTACTTGGAGATTTAAAAGTGCGGAAGGCAGAATTTGACCCGGGATATTCCGTGTTTCGGGAACTGCGAATATGACGATGAAGAAATAAGGAGGCTTATGAAGCAGGTTGTATTGTCTGTACCACGTCCGAATTGATCTCCGCGGGTTTTCCAATTGTGTGACATTTTCTCTGGGGTATTATGTATCTTCATATAGTTCAATACCACATTTTCCAAAACAGATTTCCACATTGATGTTATGAGTGAATTCGTAGGAATGTTTCGTAGTTGAGCTACGGGCCCGGAAGGTTGAGGACTGTTCTGTTACGCGGTCCTACGTGCATACGTACAGATATAGACCCATGTTTATGGATATGGCTACGATGAAGAGCGGGGGGGCAGGTACAACAGGACTCTATGTGTATTTGACATGTAATTACTTGAACGGTCAAATGCTCCGATGGGGGATTCATAGTGATGATCAATTTATATGTATGAGATGGGATTCACTGTAATTGTCCACCCTAAAATCGACACTTGTTAATGGATCATAGTGGGGTGGGAGGGAGGCAGCTGTCACCACTTTGTCCTCCTGTTGGGATGCGCACACACGTTGCCCATTAGGGGTGTTAAAAGGATATATTTCAGGTAGGGCGCACAAACTAGAGACTGAACTGTCCCTAAGTCCGGCAGAGGACGAAGTTCTAATGAAGGTGTGTCGAATAAGCCGCAAGCAGGCAGGAGCGTGGTGCTTTACCTCTCAAAGCGCAGTGGTAACTATATATACCAGCTGTAACAACCAGTAACTTTGCATTTTATACGTAAGGACGTTGTTTGATTCTTAGTTGCAACAGCGGTTATTTACTTAAACAGCGTTAACCAGTTGATCTTTGCAATGGTGAAGTGTAGTGTTTTCTTCGCGGTACGGACTGGATTCTTAAGTTTCATTTGAAAGAGCTTCGGCTTTGTGTTTTCTTCGCGGTACGGACTGAATTCTTAAATATTTACACGAACTTCGGCTTCAAAAGGGTTAATTAGCGTTTTAGTCGTATTATTTCCTTAAACAAGGTTAACCAGTTGATCTTTGTAATGGTCAAGTGTAGTGTTTTCTTCGCGGTACGGACTGAATTCGTAAGTTTCATTTGAAAGAGCTTCGGCTCCAAAGGTTAATTAGCGTTTTAGTCGTATTATTTCCTTAAACAAGGTTAACCAGTTGATCTTTGTAATGGTGAAGTGTAGTGTTTTCTTCGCGGTGCGGACTGAATTCTTAAATATTTTTTTAAGACGAGCTTTGGCTTCAGAGCGTCAGTATTCTTATGGGCACTACGTAGCTTCTAAAAACCTTAGTCACTGCTTGACTTAAACCCCTGTTTATGGTCATATAGACTGAAACATGTGGAGTACAAATTAACAAATCAGATTCCAGCTATTAAAATGTTGTAGGCCTGTACAGCGGTTCATTTAATGTTGAAAGCGGAAAAATTAGTCCGAAATGGAAGTACATTGGTGTAGGCCTATAGTAAACTGTGTCTAAGTGTTCCATGACGTCTTGATTTTCAAATGCGTCTCTATTTGTTCACAAATCAACAACAATGATATAGTGTTCCGTCCTGTTTTTAGCGTGCTGTCACGTAGAAAATAATAAAAAAAGGTGACTTCATGCAGTCCGGTTAGTAGAATCACCATAAATTCCAAAATACTTTTATTTGCAGGACTTCCCAGTATAGTCCTTGTGAATAAGCCGCGATTCCAGGAGGCCGTGTCCATTACTTATCTCTGCTCCCGGCTTTTCACGGCCTTCTGTATGTCCGTGCCCGCTCAGCGCGTCTTAAAAATTACAAGTAACAAAAAAGGTAAAAGAGAGCCGCGGGCAATGTGCATAATCGAGCTACGCCATCAATGTCTGAGGCTGTTTAAGTAGCGATAAGGACTAAGTGCTTACAGGAAAGATACTATTTTGTACACAAAAATGGCTCTTAATGGCAAGTTCTTTTGAAAGGGGGATTATTTTTTAAACGGTTGGTAATATGGTGGTGATTTTTTGAGTGTGGGCGCATAAATCTTGCGGGAGTGCATGCGTCTATCGGCCAGTGCATCCAGTGTCACCACATCACACTGTGGTCGTGCGTTTTCATCCTAACACTTTCTTGCCCTTGTTTCCTGTCCAGATGGCTCTCTAATAAGACAGACAAGAACCTGATATCACAGCAGCTCCTAATAAGCACAGAATGTGATGGTGTACAAACAGACCGCCTTAAATTGCCTTATTCTCTAGAACACACTCTTAAAATGCTCTGGGCGTTATTGATATTACCATAGGTTTTGTCTGGTTAAGAAAAGCAGTGTCTTAGTTTAAGGGAACGCAATGCCTTCAACAAGACCTCCGTCACCATGGCTTGAACGTAACTTCTTAATGAAACTTTTCTGAGACAAAATAATCCGTCCTATGGTCCATCGCTGAGTAAGTAAACCTTATAACTTTATGGTCACGTTTCGGGGTCTTACGGTGACGAGTCTGAAGATGACTGTCTTCTGGAGTGTTGCGCCGTAGTCTGGTTGAAACAAGCATCTCTGAAACGTCTGTCAAATTCTGTGAGGCTACGCGGCTCAGAATCCTGGAAGGCTGTCGTCTTGATATGTTCATTTGTGGACATGGCAGACACTGAATTGTCCGTGAAGACTGCAGGGCTCTGAAACTGGCCTAATTATGTCGAGGGGGCGAGGGTTCTGTCCCCAGTGCTTCCCCGCGCAAATGACTGTCCAGCTGCCTCGAGGACACCACCCACGTGGTAGAACACAATGCGACACCGCAAATTGCTCGTTTAGGTGTGGACACATGACAGGGGGGCAGGACACCCGCGAAAACTGCGGTCGGCCAACAAAGGAAAGAACGCTCCGTAAATTTCCACGGCAAATATTTAGGACAGTTAATGTCTTAGGTGACACTTTGCGTGTTAGCGGTTAGCTATTAATGATAAGCTGACAGTAAGCTATCAGTTGATGAGGTTATAAATGTGTGGTGAGTAGGAAGGGGTGCGTTTTGAAGCGGCAGTATTTCAAGGTAATATCCACCCCTCTACCCCCAGCATTCATTAAGGAAAGCGCATCTAAATATTATTTAAAAATTCGGTACGTACCGCAAAGAAAACACAACATTTCACCGTTACGAAGGTGGACTGGTTAACTCTGTTTCAGGAAATAATCGCTGTTTGTCATGAGAATCATATATACATGATAAGTAAACTGAAGAACACTGATGATGGAGGCAGCAAGGACCTGATTGACCTGCAATAAGAATTTCGATCATCTTCTGGTTAGGCCCGACCTCAGTGTAGTCTGAAGTCAAATATTACGGAAATATGTACTCTCTCCATGGTATCACTGACGATGGAGGCAGTAAGCACTTTTGAAATGTCGGTCATAAAGACTTAGTCAAGACTTTGTAGACCGACGTTTAGGAAAAGATTTATTAATATTCACCTGCCCCAAAGCAAGTTTAATTGATAACATCGAAACCACTTTCTTAGAACTCCATTTCAATATCATCCCCAAAAGTGTTCTCTTCGTATGAGCTATTTAAACTGCAAGTCTTTTACAAATTTCTGATTTTATCCATGCGTACTACATTTCCTATCCATTCCAACCTCATTATTTAATCACTAACAATTTCAAGCGAAAACTGAAGTCTCTCGCTGCTGACGAAGAAATATTATCATGAATGAGACTAGCTTATTCGTGTTTTTTTCCCGTCTAATCACAATTGTATATAAATAAAATTTATACATAAGATATTAAAATATCATTTACATATTTGGTACATCTTTTTGCTACATGTTTCGGTTACATTGAACCATCTTCAGGTGTAAAGTTAAAAGTTAAAAATTATAATTTTATAAACTAAAACTTAATTACTGTTGTTGTGTAACTTCTGATGAT